AATGAATCCAGACCATTCATTTTGTGAATTTCAGAGTCATAGCTTTTATAACCTCAAAATCATTTTTTTCTTTTTTAATATTGTTCATCTAATGCCTAGTTCTAAACATCCCACCAAAATGAATAGTCTATGTTAATTGGGCTAAAAAAATACTTTTTAGGTTATGTTGTCAAATTTTTTATTTTTATAATTGTTCATTAGAATAAACAGAGTGTATATTTCAAAATTTGGATCAAGCAAATAGTCATAAGATGGTTTTTTTAGGTTTTTGCATCAGATTACTATACAGCAGTTGCATGAAACCATGGCTCTATATATATAATATATAGGGCAATGATTTTATGCAACCTTTGTATAGTAATATGATGCAACAAACTTCAAAAACCTTCTTATAACCCTTTTTTTATCCAAAATTTGATATATACACTCTTTTCATCCTAATGAAAAAAGAAAAAACTGAAAACACAACCTAGAAAGTAATTTTTAGCCAAATTAATATAGACCGTTCATTTTGGTGAGATGCTTAGATCTAGGCCTTAGAAAGATTTTTTCATTTCTAATTTTTTTGGATGGATTTATTATCATTAGATGAACAATGTCAAAAAAGAAAAAAAATGATTTTGAGTTTATAAAAGCTAAGATCTTGAAATTTACAAAATGAATGGTCTAGATTCATTTTTGGAGGGGACTCATTTTGACCATATCTAGGGTTCAAATTGAACTTTCTTTGAGGGGGGATTGATTATTGAGATGAAGAGAGTGTGTATGTAAAATTTGGGGTCATATAAATACCACAAACATGATTTTCTAGAAATGTCGTTACATTATACTATGATACAACCGTTGCATTGGATCATTGCTCATATATGTATCATCTCTACAGTGGTCTCTCTATTATCCACCATCTGTTTCAATTTAATGAAATGTAAGGCATTGAAAAAAAAAATATTGGCCCAAAAGGTTCAAACCCAAATTTATTTCAACATGTATTCCTCTTTTTTGCTCGCCTCTTATGCTCGCTCTCTTCCTACCACAGACGCCCCTCTTCTCTCCTACTGCCAAAGACGCCTCAAAAACCCTCTCGATCTTCATGGCTGCCAAAGATGGCACCAAAGCCCTCTCGACCTTCTTGGCTGCCACAGAAGTTGGAGCTCCGCCATGAAAAGTTCTTCGGCATCAATTCAAGTGAATGCACCTCAAATCTTATCCTCATTTGTGTGTTTTTTTTTTTTTCTAGAATTGAATCCACAATTTCTGAATAAACTCCAACCTTAAATCAAGAGTAAAACCTAATTTGTTTCCCAAAAACCAACCCAAATTTTTTTGATAGATCCCAAAATAATATATTCAAATAAAACCCTATGATTTTTTTTTAGAATAAATCACTAAAAATGGGAGAATAAATCGCAGTCACAGAAAATGAAAATGGAATACAAAACTATATATGGCATAAGAAATTTTGGGTTTGGTTAAAAAAAATTTAGGTGATTGCAGTTTATCATAGTTTGAATATCATCTTTATTACCAATAAACACCAATATTGTTCTTTGACGTCTAAAACAAAGCCAAATTTTATGATTATATCCAAAAATGTAATTTGTGAATAAAGCCCTTTCTTTTGTTCTTCGCTCTTGTTGATAGAAATTGACTTTTTTTCTTATGGTATTATTTTGTTAATTTTGGTTTGATTTTTGGATTTTTTAGTTATCGTTCATTGGGTCAAGTTCGTGGTTGTAGTTCATTTCTCTTTTGTTATGGTTTTTTTTTTTTTTTTTTCTTTTTTTTTTATATAGTTTTGAAGTGATTGTAGAGCAAAATTTGGAGTGGTTTTTTGTTTGTTTTTTGCAAATCGATTGCTTGTTTTATTTTTTTTATTTAGAAAATTTGAAGTACCATTCTAATGCAAGTTTTTTGTTTTTTGTTTTTGGAGCATTCGCTTTGGGTTGAGTTCTCAATAACCGGCAAGTTGGTTGGTCATCACGATCGTGTCATCAAAGTATTCTAACAGTAATTGATTCTTTCTTATGCTTCCTAGTGAGTTGTGTACAGGGACGTGTGCCTCTCAACTCCATAAGAGCCCTACAGGGATCATAGGATAGTCACAATACTATGTTTCTATTGTTCATTTTTTCTCTTTTTACCATACCTCCTAACTTAAGTTTGCAGCAGGGTTCTCTTCTCTCACACACTCGATTCATGGTCTGTAGGTAGCAACAAAACATGCATGCAAGCCTCTACAAAATCAGTGTGTTCTTCTATGATTTTATTCCTTTTTTTTTATGGGAAAGGTTTCTATACTTCCCCTACAGCATAGAAGTTCTATCCTTCCCCTACCATCCAGTTGTCCGATTTTGATCAAGAGAGTCACTCACTGTTTGATTTTAGATCCGACTTCTCAAAGTATTTTATTTTTAGTTTTTTAATACAAATTGTCTAAATATGAAATTTGGTACTGCCATCTTCTCATTGGGATGCATCTATAAAAAATATTAACAATAATTTTCCGATAAAAAATAATGACCAAAATACCCCTGAAAAATTTCAAGGGTATTTTGGTCATTTTATTTTATTAAAAATATTTTTTTAATAGTTTAGCTAGTGTGAGTTTAATAGAGGAATGAACGTCCAAAATTTGTTATCAAAATAGTTTATAGAAAAAAATTAAAAATAAAATAGTGTAGAGACATGACATTGTGATTGGGGTAATCTTAGCCCTCCATTTATAATGGACGGATGGATAAGGGGAAGTATATAGGTTTTATACTATAGGGAAAGCATAGAAAACTAGCCCTTTTTTTACTGTAAATATTATTTGAAATTTGGAAAATATTCTATGAGCAAGGAGAGAACCGAGGTCATCTCATTTGGCTCGAAATTCATTTGATAAAAGAGTTCTCTTGCTTTATGGGGTTGTTTGTTCTATGCATAACCGAACAACATTGAATTCCATGAGCATAGATTTCTTTGATTAGAGATACTACCAAATATAAGCTTTTGCGCTTTTGATATACTTACATTTGCAGTACATAGATAGTAATGCATTGATTAGATAGAGATTGAATTCTAGTCCAGTTTTGAGTACATATACATGAAACCATATGCCTCGATTTAGAAGTTTGAGCTCAACACAAGCACTAAAAACACTCACGAGGGTAATAGGGTCAGGATTTACAGGTATAAGAAGCATTTGGTCAAAGGTCTCCAAGGCTTCTTTGCAAAATTCAGTTTGTGGACATCCAACTATAATCGTGTTACATGAAACCACATCTCGCACATAAATGTCATTGAACACTGAGAGCCCAGATTCTAAATCTCCACAGTTTATGTACGTGAATACGGTGGCATTTTGGGCAGCTACATTTTGTATAAAACGCGATTTGATTTTCCAAGCGTGGACAAGTGACTCTAAACAGTCACAAGAGGAAGAACATCTATTATACTAGCTAGGTTACATCTCTGACTAGAATTCAGCAAATCTCAAAAAAGTGTAAAGTTCGTAATAAGGGTGGGCATGATAGGTGAAATTGTTCGGTGATGGTGCTTGGGATGTAAGTACTTGTTTGCTTTATGTTTTGGACAAAATAAGTATAATTGTCTTTATTTAGTTTTAGTTTTCATTTATCTTATGCTTTATGTATTGGACTGATAATACATCTTTCTCTTATAGAGCCACTGAGGATCTCGAATCGAGTTGAGGCATGACAAACGAAAGGGCTGCAATTGCATGGAGGATATGACAATTGCAGGACTACATTTGTACGGAGGATATGGCAACTTGCAGGGCTTCATTTGCATATATGCATAAAGGATTTTTTGTGTTGACTAATTTTTGAAATTTTGGATATATGTAAATACCCTTTTTGTAATTGACTTTCAGGGTTATGTGAATACTTTCAGGGTTATGTGAATATTGAATAGTCATATAATTTTGCGGACATGTAAAGGACCTATTTATAGGGGCATGTAAAGACCTAATTATAGAGACATGTAAAGTATCTATTTTAGGGTCATGTAAAGGACTTATTTATGGATAGTGGAATCCATTTATAATGAAATGTGGGTTTACTTGGATGTGACCTATTTATTGGGCATGTAAAGTACACTTTTTTGTAAATGCCTTATTTTTTTTTATGACATTTATGTATGCAATGTGGGTTTACACGGATAGTGAAATGCATTTATATCCAGATAATTCCCACTTTACTTTATTTGGAATGTTGAGTGTTTGATAGCAGGTTTGTGACAGTGCACCACGACTCTACTATAACTGTGATGGACTTTTCCCTCTCTTCGACACTCTAGGCACTGACCAGAACCCTCATGGAGGATTTCTAACTATCACTGACATAGCAGGTCCGTGACGACCTTTGCCCTCTCTTCGACGCTCTCGGCACTGATCAAAACCCTCCTGGAGGGTTTCCAGACATCACAGACATAGAGCAGCCAAGCATATTTTTGAAACCTTGCTAGCGAGATAGGCTGTAGGAACAATGCATCTCACACAATAAAGCAAAAGAAAAAAGCTTCACTGAAAACTCTCCACCTTCTTAGGGCCATATCCATATCAAGACATGAAACGTGAGCAACACCAAAACATGATGTGGTATCAATGTAACCGTGATACCATATAGAAATAAGCAAATGTCGAACCTAAAGATCCAGTACTCATTGCCTTTACAAACAAATAAAAGGTCAAAAGTAATACAAAAATGGCCACTCTTTTAAAACTTGCCAAATTTACCATTAGTTCTAAAATTCAGTAACACTGCTCAACATATACAATGCTCCACTAATTGTGGCGCTACGTATTGGCTAAAGTTTCTGCACCCTACTTCCCCTTACCTTTCTCTGACCACCATCTGGATTGCTGATCTCAACTCCATGATCTAAGCATCTTCGATGGTGCAACACCCATTCAACCTCCACCATTAGAGCAGACGTAGGAACGGGCTGTGTCGAGATCTGATCCTCCGATCGGGAGCTACTTTCTCCAATGTCCCCAAGTACATCATCATTTACATAGGAATGGGCAGTGTGGGGATCTGATCCTCCGATCGGAAGCTACTCTCTCCAATGTCCCCAAGTACATCATCATTCACATTGTCATCTTGAGGCTCCTCTAATGGAATTGGACAATACTTTGATAGGTATCCGAATGCCTCAATGTCCAAATCCCAGGCCTTGGATCCGATACCATCTCTTAAGAGCTGTGTGCCACTACATTATAAAACCGAATGTTAATTGGCAAAAATAACACAATAATGAATACTACAGCAATTCAGCATTAATGATGGGATGTGGTGTGGGTGATCTATCACATTGTCTTCACCTTGGTAACCTCGATGATTATATTTTGGAGTCCTTAGTTGGTCTGCCCAACCCTTCTAAACGCATGAGTAAGGGTCTTGTCCAACCCTGCTAATCTCACCAGAAGATAATAGAACTCGCCTATATTAGGAGGCTGCACTTCAAAAAGTGTAACATTCAAAAAATAAGTTCATTTTACTTTTATACATAAAATGAGGCTAGAAAATCATGTTATTCTAAATCCAAGTTAATTTGCTTAAGAAATTTTTTTGAGAAAGTAATTTTCCTAACAATTGTAATATACATTAGAAACAAATCCAAGATCATATGTTCAAAAAGTAGCTAAAAGCTTACAAATGAAACTAATTATAGCAATCAAAACCTAGAAACTATTTATTGAAGTCAAAATTTCTAAATTTAGGAAGAGAAAAAAGTATCACATGCATACCAACAAAGAGTGTTTTGTTTTTAGGAACCAACAAAGAGAGTACTATTTGCGAGAGAGAGAGAGAGAGAGAGAGAGAGAGAGAAATAGTACTAATGATAGTAATAATAATATCAACTCAGAATCAACAACGTTCTACATCGATGCTATTTAGAGAATTGATGCTTGGAATACGATGTAGTTT